TGGCTGGGTCTTTTCCCACGGGGCTCCTTCCAGAGGACAGAGTCCATTTCGGGAGGAGCTTGCTATAAACCGGTGGATGGGATGGTGTGGCTCAAGCCTGCATTCTTGGAACAGGAGCCTGTGGTTTCTCTCTTACTTCATCTTGTTAAATTGGTCCAGATGACTGGGGTGGATACCAGAGATAGTAGCGGCTCTCTCACACTGCCATGTAATTTAAAGCCCTTGCAAGCTCCATCCTCAGGCAGTAGCAGGATAAGGGGGGATAGAGGAAAGGGGGTGTGGAGGAAGTGCCTCCTCCTGGGCTCTGACCTCATCCAAACCCCAATCTGTGTCTTGGGAAAATGTGTTTCAAAGTTGGCTTGAGACACTGTTAAGGGAAGGTCTTAATTTAACCTTCTTAGAACTGGCTGGGTTGTGAGTAGACCAGATACCATGGCATCGAGTGGACCGGAAAAGTTGTTTCTGTGACCCTACAGAGTTTGTCCCCTAGTGCCTGAAGAATACTTTTACCTTTTCATTTTCACATGAAATATCTTTGGCTTCCTTTTCTTTGAAATTCAATATTCATTCTTTAAGCAAGAGCGTGTGATAAATGCATACAAACCATGGGAGGATGTAGGGTAATTGTGGAGAAACTAACAAGGAAACTTTCTCTTCCTGAAGAGAAAAGAAATTCACTATCAACATGGAGTTTATTTATTGCTTGCCCATTCCCAGCACAGGATTATAAGTATGAAAATCTCTTGGATGAAATAGTCAAAATCAAGCAATGAGAACTGAAATAAAAAGTTTTTTAGATAAACAAGGATTTACTGTATAGCACAGGGAAATATATTCAATATCTTTAATAAGCTATAATGGAAAAGAATCTAAAAAAGAATATATGTGTGTATATATATATATATATATATATATGCAACCAACCAAACCACTTTGCTTTACGTATCTGAAACTAATAAAATATTGTAAATCAACTATACTTAAAAAAATTTTTTTAAAACTGTGTTAATTTTTATTCCAAGATGTTAATAGCTGTTTTCATCTGGGTTATCACAGGCATTCTTTTACGTTATTATTATTATTTTTAATGTGAACACATGTTAAATAGTATCTTAAATCCATGTACAGTTGATTAATTCATGGGTGCCAGTGTTTTAAATGTCACATGATGTAAGCCTACTAGTAGTTCCATTTTTAAATTGGAAACCTGATTCTTGTGCTTGAATTTTAGGAATCTATTTCCTCGGGTAAACACTTTATTTAGTGAACCCTGTTGGTCATATATTTTCTCCTGTTTTCAGGGCTTATAAGAAGGTAAGAGAGAGTCACTCTCAGTGAGGACCTTATGATGCTACACACAAACCCACATTATATCATGAAACAATGAGAGTGTTCTATGTCATGCAGGACAATACATTTCATTACTCTGTAGTTCTACTTTTTATATCAGGTAAATTCCTGTTGGGATGAGAACAATATGTGCTTAAAAAATTCTTTGATGAGTTTCCTGAACTGGAGTAAACATCCAATGATGTCAAATGGCTTTCTAAGAACAGTGGGTCCTGCTGACCAGAGGGCACTTTGATTTGTCCAGCAATGTTTGGGTTTAGTGGTACATGGCTCCGAATTATAAAGGGGTGAGAAATTTTAAGTTTCCTGGGGAGAAATTTGGGAAGGAGAGAAAGGTAGGGTGTGAATGAAGTGAGTCTCAGATAGGGAATCCTGGTAGCAATGCTTAGAAGATGGGCTGGGGGCAGCAGAAGGATCTAATGATACTTATTTTTGCATTAAACTTTTTTTTTTATTGTGGTAAGAACACATAACACAAATGTTCTCTTCTTAATTTTAAGTGTACAGTTCAGCAGTGGTAAGTATATTCATATTGTTTGTTTTCTTATTCGTATTTTTGTGCAACCAATCTCCAGAACATTTTCATCTTGCAAAACTGAAACTCTATACCCATTAAATAATAATTCCTCATTTACTCACCTCCCCTCCACCGCCAGCCCCTGGCAACTAATGAGATAATTTTACAGTGTTGTGGTGTGTTGTGCAATATAACTTCCCTTCTTGCTTAAAAAATAATTAATTTTGTTCTTTAATGCTTTCATACAAATTGGAAGAACATGTATGTACTGCTGCTGAGTTACATGTCAGGCTGGGTATAGACAGAGCTTTTAGGAGCCGGAAACTGAAGTGACACCTGGCATCCTTTTACTCCCTGAAACACTGAACACTATTTTCGGCTTTTTTAAAAATTGGCACTACTTCTTAATTGTGGGCAATCTTGAAAATATTGTGACGTATAGCATGATCTTCCTGCTGAGAACATAGGAGGATACTGAATATATCCTGAAATACTCTATATCCTAATGTCCCCTTAGCATGATCATGTTACCTGTACATAAAAACATCTTCAAATTTCCCACAATTAAATAGTGCCAATGAAAAAAGAAGTCATGAAAAACATTTCCCCCTTAGTAAAAAGCATTGCAGGTTGGCAAGCCAAGGGGGAAAAGAGAACTCTCTCTTTTTAAGAAAATTATTATCTGTAATTTTCAGTTTTTCTTTTAAATTATAGCAGCAAAGGGTATTTCTCCCTTTCCATGGCTGCTCTCATCTGTATCCTCTTAGGCATGCAAACACAGACTCCTAAAATCTTCTGGCTGTCGCATAGGTAACTATGCTGAATTCGTGGTTCAGGTACCTCCATGTGGCAAGTTATGGGCTGAACTGGGTGTAGCTTATGAGTGTTCATGAGGACAGGAAATAGGATACGTTGAGTCTTGGGGCTTATCAGTATGCAAGTCCTTTAACAGGGCACAGGTGGTTTAATAGCAGCTTGGTGAGGGTGCCCAGAGTAAATTGCTTTCATTCCCCTTACTATTATACCTGGTCATTTGCCAGTGTAACAGGTGAAAATTGATGAGGGGGTGGTGATTTCTAGGATTGGAGGACTCAGGAGTTCTGAATGCCTTTGGCAATGCCTTTATCTCCTGCGGTGAGTTGTACTGTAATACTCCCGGGCACTACTTTTTAATTTATTTCACTATAGAAAGAGATAATGGCTCCAACAGGCTCAGTTTATGCTGTGAATATGTTCATGGGGCAGTAGGGAAAGATGCTACATAATATAATTATTAGATGAATTTCCATGGATTAGAACACAACAGATGTTCCACATAAAGGTTAATTTCATCCAAGTCTATTTCAAATTTTATTTCCTTTAGAAAATCTCTACTCAGAGGCTTCATGATAAATAGGAAGGGTCATCTTACTTATCAATCAGATTTTATAGAATTTTGTAGAACTTTCTAGAATTTCTTTTGCATCCTGGGTGAGGTCACTAAATATGACACCCAAAGAAATCTGTGTCCTGGAAGAATATATAGTGAGAGGAGCAAGTAGTAAGAAATTCATTAGTATAAATTAATTAATATAAAATTAGTGAGACTATGACCTAATCAGACACATAGTTTACATATAAAGACTATTGGGAAGAGAGGATTAGACAGAAGAGCCTATTTAACAATTAAGTCATATTTCTCAGATATTATATAACATTTTTCTATAAATAATTGAAAAATGTGATTAAAACACTCATTAAAAGACTATTAGCTAATATTTCTCTAAATAATGCTTTTAATAATGTGCCACTATAGAGCAGAAACTAACACACCATTGTAAAGCAATTATACTCCAATAAAGATGTTTTAAAAAAAGAAATAATGTGCCACTAATTAGAACTAAGGATTACAAACTCAGGGAAAGCTAGTTCTTTAAAAATAATTTCTGGAAAGAAGATTTTCAACATATTTCGGTTAGAAAGGCTTGAATGCTGGCCTCTGTTTCCCTCATGGATGGGAGAGAAGCAAAGACAGGAAGCCTTGTTCTCTTTGGCCACACGCTTTATAAGCATCGTTTTATTTGGGGTTTGGTCTTTCATATGCTTTGTTAATTCTTGCAAGCATTATTTCCAGGCCAGCATCATTTTTTCAGTTTGGATTCCTTTCATTTTTTAAAAATAATTTTTATTGGAGTATAGTTGATTTACAATGTTTTGTTAGTTTCAGGTGTCCAGCAAAGTGAATCAGTTATACTACAAATATATCCACTCTTTTTTAGATTCTTTTCCCATATAGGTCATTACAGAGTATTGAGTAGAGCTCCCTGTGCTATACAGTAGGTCCTTATTAGTTATCGTTTTTTTTTTTTTTTTGCGGTACGCGGGCCTCTCACTGCTGTGGCCTCTCCTGTTGCGGAGCACAGGCTCCGGACGCGCAGGCTCAGCGGCCATGGCTCACGGGCCCAGCCGCTCCGCGCCATGTGGGATCTTCCTGGACCGGGGCACGAACCTGTGTCCCCTGCATCGGCAGGTGGACTCTCAGTCACTGAGCCACCAGGGAAGCCCAGTTATCTATTTTATATATAGTAGTGTGTATATCTCAATCCCAATCTCCCAATTTACCCACCCCCCATTCTCCCTTTGTAACTATAAGTTTGTTTTCTATATCTGTGACTATTTTTGTTTTATGAATAAGTTCATTGGATTCCTTTCTTGTAGGGCTCCTCCACTCTACAAGATTTGATAGAACTACAGGAACAGAAAACAAGGGGGGATTGAAACAGATGACTGAACTATTTCCCCATCACTAATTCTCTAAAGCAGAGTCTAAGATTTCTGGGGAAAAGTACAGAATTATTAGGGGACTTATTTTTCCTCCAGCACATGGCAGGTAACTGATCTGTAATGGGTCTTATGGCTCTGGCTTGGGCCTGAGAATGCCCTGGAATGACACAGAAAGATACATGTGGGGAGGATCAGACCACTTCTCTATTTGCAGTCAAGTAGAATCAGCTGAACTCTGTCCAATGAGGGTTGACAGTGCTATTCTCATGCAAAAACTCTCCTTCTAAAGAACATCAGTAGAGCACGATGGTTGGTAATTTATTCTGCTACAAGGAAATGGACTGATTTCTTCTTGTTGTTGTTTGTGAAGCCTCTGCCGCCTTGTCATGACTCCATGGAATCCATGCAGGTGTTCAAACAGCACTGCCAGATAGCAGAAGAATACCGTGAAGTTAAAAAGGAAATCGCCCTGCTTGAGGAAAGAAAGTAAGTACTGTCCCCCTGAGCACCCTCAGCCCTGAATCCTGACTGCTGGTCATGGACCAGGGGTCATGGATTGGGAGTGGCAGGGGAGGAAAAGGCTGAGCATGGGAGCAAGAGGGAGGGAGACATACAGGGAGGAGAACTGACATTTGTAGTTCAGAGGTTACACGCATGTCATGTTTGATTCTAGAAATGATCCAGATGGAACGGCGCTAGATGAAAGGCTTTACAGAGTAGTGAGGGGAACCACAGGAGTGCTTCCTACTCAAATTTAATTTTTTAATAAGCATTCTTTAGTTCAGGAAATTAAAGATGCCAAAATACCACCTAGAGCCACATTATGTTCCATGTGAATGTGCCCAAAGGCCCCAGAGCACTTTGTCTTGGGGTGAATTTTAATTAATGCTTGAATGGTGGAGTACCCACATGAAGCAAAGAAGTCACTGTGATGGCTCTTTGGAATAATGTAAAAGGATTAGTTGCCTAACTACATTTTATAGCCCAATAGTCCAGTAAGTTTTTATCTTGATAGCTTCTATTACCATTACAGTTCTGCTATAGGGAATTAGGCAGTTCTATTAATTAAAGCACTATCACTTTACTTACTCATAACTTTATGCTTCAGAATTCTCCTTTTGATTGCACTAAATTCTGCTGATGTCTACCCAGTGATCCCCATTCCTTCATACTTTCAAAGCATCATAGCGCTGGTCGGTTTGTACTTACACATTTATTAGGGAGATCTTTTGATGAATATTTGCATCTCCTGCCAAGTGGTAAGTGTCATAAAAGGGAGGATAGTCAGGTGTCTCTCACCATCATATTTCTGAAGCCTAGCACAGTGCATGGCATGTAGATACTGAATAAATTTTTGTTGAATGAGTGACACATAATCCAAACATACTGTGAGTCTGTAAGTTTCTGCTTCTTCCCTTCTTCTTACTGGAGTGATACATGGTATCACTCCATATTTATATCAGTATTTATACTTTGTATTTATATAAAACTTACTTTTTAAATGAATATAGATGAAATATATTTTGTTTTGAGAGATTTATGAAATTCGTGGGACTCTTTGGAGACTCCCCAGAATAGTGGTTGCACAGTATAATATGCTAGGGAGCAGCATGGGTTTTAGGGTCAGACTTCTACATTCACTGTAAGACCACAGTTAGCATGTTATTTTCTTACTTCCTTGCTTCAAACATAAAGTCTTACCTGGACTTTTGGTTATAGGGCATTGAAGGATGCTTATGAGGAAATCAGTAGTACAACTTTTCCTTTGTATGTCTGAGACTTTCTTTTTGGTCTAAGAGTTTTCATAAATTGGTCGGAATGCTTAGATTGTCCATTTACACACAATATGAGCCCTAAAAACAGTTTCATAAAGGAACAGAGGAAGCTTACTAATAATGTGACCAGTGATTAATTTAAAGGAGGACTTGTATATTCAGTAGCCTATAAAGGTATCTTCCAGTGGGTGTACGTGTGTGTGTGTGTGTGTGTGTGTGTGTGTGTGAGAACTGTGGTGTTGTGACAGGAAAAAAAGCCCCAGGTAATTATGTATTTATTTGTAAACGCTTTAGGCTGGAAGTACAGTGTTATTTAAATTAACCCCATGTGTAGCTTTTTTGGGTGGGGGCAATGCAAGACTTACCCACTAAATTATATATTTTGTAAGTTTATATTTTTGTATATTGCATTAAAAAACACAATAGGATAACAATATGAGAGTGATTCATCTGCTCTTTTATTAAAACATATTCCTGCTGTTGCTGCAAAACTAATCTTACTTCCTCCCTAAACCTCTTTGAACTTTGGAGTTTTCTTGAAACCATGATGTTGTCTTTTTTTTTTCTTTTCTTCCTAGTAATTGACTAGATAAGAGACAAAGACCAAATTCTTTGATTTTTTTTTTCCTTTCTCTTTTATAAAGTCTCTCAAGTTCCTTTTCTTCATTCCCACTTCTGCCATTTGGGATCAGGACTTGTTACTTCAAATCTTGATCAATGTAATATTATAACTGCTTTCCCTGCCTATGGTTTCTTATTGCTAGAGAAGGGCACCCAGTGCTTGGCCTGGATTGAAAGATCTACCTTGGGCCTTAGTACCTCTGCAGAATGTTCTAGCTCATCCTTGGTCTTCAGCTATGTTGACCTATTCACTTTGTCCCCCTCGGTGCCCTTGCTCACACCAGGCTCTCAGTATAGTCTCCCTCCTTCCTCTTCACCTGTCCAAATGCTATCCTTGAAAAGAGCTTAGCCTGTATCCCTAGCCCAACCACCCCACAGTGATCAGTGCTTTTCCTGGATGAAGGAAAATTCACTGGAATGATTCTTTGGGCACTTTTTGTGGGCTAGTGTTATCAATAGCTATCCACTGAAGTTTCTGTCCTTTCTGACTATGTATAGTTCTCTGCAGACCTGGATAACCTTTAACATCTCTTTGGATCGTAATCACTGAATAGGGAGCTGCACGTAGGGTAAAATACGAATAGGGGTGATTTACAGTAGCTGATGATAGGAAACTGTTATATCCTCCATGTATGCATTTTTTAAATTTGTAATTTGTATTGTCTGTATTTAAAATATAGAGTCAATATCAGCAATAAAGAATTGCTAAGATAAATTGTTAAAATTCAAAGTAGGGTGATATTTTATATCTATAAATAAATGAACTTGGTCCTCCAAGGGTTATGGGTGATCCGTGTTTTCATCAACACTTTACTGAAGCAGAAATTCATCTTACAACAGGTATTTTCCTGAACAGTCTTTGTGTTCAAACAAGATAAATTGGGCCAAATGGATTTGACCCAAGTAAATTCACTCTCCATTTTTTTGATGATTTGGATGAGAATTTCTTCCCCATCATTTAATAAAGTGTGGCTGATTATGTTGCTTCCAGTGATTGGCTAGCATACGCTGGACACACAGAGAGTCACTAAATCAGGTATTTTAAAAGAGAGTTTTTGAATATTGGAGCCATGTGGGCACAGGTTAAGCTGAACTTCTCTCTCATCTCCAGAGGGGGTCTCCCTGGACCTAGTTTGGGAGACTTCGCAGAGGGGAGGGGAGAAGAGTTGATTATAACTATTGTTTTAAATCATGTCTGTTGGGTGGATAATGACAGTCAAACATTTTCTGGGATTACAAATTCAGCATGGGATGAATTTAATTTAAAGAATAGCTTCTGGCTTATTGACCAGTGATATGCAAAAAGCTTGTTCTTACTTTCACTGGAAATTTCTCTCTTCTTAACTGAAAAAAAAAGACAATTTTATTGAAAGCTTTAAAAATTTACCAAGAATTCTGACATCTTTACAGAACTCCTACTATCATTTTTGTCTATTTTTTCTAGGCCTTTTGGATGTGAATAGGTATTTTTTATATAATTGCTTATATAGTAACATAAAATGTATACATACTTTTTTCAATAAATATTCTAAGCATTTTTATAGAACACATATAGGTTTTGTGTATGTGATGGAAACTCATGGAAGTGAGGTACAGATATTTTATGGCATTTGATATTTATCACTGAATTGTCTGGCAGTTTAAAAAATATATGGTTAAACTATAATTAGTTCTACAAATAGATTTACCATTAGTAAAACTTGCTTTGTGTTTTAACTTGTTCAGAGGAGAGACCACTCTCTGCCTTATATATGAAAAATTGTGCGAGGTGTTCCGGTGTTTAAAAGATTGACTTAGACTGTCAGAAAAAGATAAAATCTTAGAAAAGTCAGGTTGAAAAATGTTATATAACTTAAAAGAAATAATTCAGGGGCTTAAAAAATAATTCAGTGGTTTTCAGTAGACTCACAGAGCTGTGAAACCACCATCACGATTTTAGAACATTTTCATCGCCCCAGAAACAAACCTTGTACCCCTGAGTGGTCACTCCCCATTCCCTCCCGCCGGCCACTGGCAACCACTAGTCTACTTTCTGTCTCTATGTATTTGCCTATTCTGGATATTTGAGATAAATGGAATCATGCAGTATGTGGTCTTTTGTGACTGGCTTCTTTCACTTAGCATAATATTTTCCGGGTTCATCCTTGCTGTGGCATGCATCAGTGCAGGCAGACCTCAGAGGTACTGCAGGTTTGGTTCCAGACCACTACAATAGAGCGAGTATTACAACAGAGAGTCACACACATTTTTTGGTTTCCCAGTGAATACAAAAGTTATGTTTACACTATACTGTAATCTATTAAGTGTGCGATAGCATTATGTCTAAAAAAAACCATACAAACTTTAATTAAAAAACACTTTATTGCTAAAAAATGCTAATCATCATTTGAGCCTTCAACGAATCATGGTCTTTTTCCAATAATAAAATCAAAGATCACTGATCACAGATCACCATTACAAATATAATAATAATGAAGAAGTTTGAAATATTGCAAGAATTACTAAAATGTGACACAGACACATGAAATGAGCAAATGCTGTTGGAAAAATGGTGCCAAAGACTTGCTCATTGCAGGGTTGCCAAAAACCTTCAATTTGTAAAAAAACACAATATCTGTGCAGCACAATAAAACAAAGTGCAATAAAATGAGGTATGACTGTACTTCATTCCTTTTTATTGTCAAATAATGTTCTGTTATATGGTTATATCACATTTTAGTTAGCCATTTGTCAGTTGATGGACAGTTGGGTTGTCTGTACTTTTGGCTATTATGAATAATGCTGCTACAAACATTTATGTATAAGTGTTTGTGTGGATGTATCTTTTCAATTCACTTGGGTGTGTACCTAAGAGTAGAATTACTGAGTCATATGATAACCCAATGTGTAACCTTCTGAGGAGCTGCCAGACTGTTCCTAAAGTGGCTGCACCGTTTTATATTCCCAACAGAAATGTATGAAGTTTCCAATTTCTCCACATTTTGCCAACACCTATTATGTCTTTTTGATTATAGCTACACTAGTGGGTGTAAAATGATGTTTCTTTCTGGTTTTCATTTACACTTCCCTGATAGCTAAAAATGTTGAGCA